ATTATTCATTGAATTTATCCGTATATATATGTGTGTTTTGTCTGTGTGTATCTGTGTTAAAATTAAATTTTCAGATAGATTTAATCTGTAAAAAGCCAATAAGAATAATAAAGACAAAAAAAAAAAAAACTTATCTTAGCCGTCGCGTGTCGTCCTCTGTGGGGCTTCAACAAGGTAAATGCGTTCCTAATTCTAAAAATGAAAAACCAATAACATTTTTGGTGTTGTATAGAAATACATTTTACAAAATAAATCGTTGCATTTGCCTTGATAAATTCCCACAAAGGACGAAACATTAAGATAAGTTTTTCTTTTATGTTTATTATTCACACACACACACACACATATATATATATATATATATATATATATATATATATATATATATATATATATATATATAATATCAATTTATTTTTATAATAATTCCATCTCGTACTCTAATATTTTTCTTGATGTTAAGATGAAATTTATTAAGGAAGGCGCCGTTGTTTTTTCGTACCCAAGTATTTTCGATCTCCTCCGAAGTCATCCTCAGGGGTGAAGTACAAAAACAAATTTGTTGCAACTGTGATTGATGTGATGGCCATTTTAAAAATCACACGTTAATGTGCTTTGTTATAATTATTTTAAAATTTTAAATGTATCCGTAGTATCTAGGGAATATTTTGCAAAACAAGCGTCCCAATATAAGGGAGGTAACCAGAAATTGGTAGAAATGCAAAATGTTTCTTATATGCTCTTCAACACGTTACTGCTACACTCTATATATCTATATTATTCAATGTAACATGTTTGAATGAAGATTTGTTGCTTAAATATACATTTATTCGAAATTTCAGCAGATGATATATATTGATATAAAATTAACATTTGTTAAGAAGTGAATGAAGAAAAATTATCCAACACGGTAAAGCCCGGACGAGAAACTATTATGGTTTGTCAAGTGGTTCATTTTCAGTGATACGAAAGCACTTCATGTAATTGAAGATAATATAAAAGAATATGAATACGAAATTTGAAACGGCAGTGATGTGGGTCAGCTGAAGGATATTGAGAATGTCACGGCAGAACATGTCAGCTACGAAGAAGTCTTTAGAGAAATCAGAACTTCGTTATTTGGTTGGTTGATATTGTTTAGCGGCATATCAATCTCTATGGATTATTTAATGCTGAAATCTAGATATTTTGAACGCAATTGAATGCCTTTGATTATAGATAAAATGTATTCTTGGTAATTTTACTATAAGTTGGTATTGCTGGTACTTTTTATATAAAAATGAATTGGTGTCATTTTTACTGTAAAGTGTTTTGTTTTTGCTTGGTGGGGGGTTACTATTTACCCATGGCTAGGAACCTAACAGGTGCTACCACCGCTGGTCATGGTGGACCTGGGAACAGCAGCAATAAAGAGGTGCTTCCCCGCTCCTCAAGACCTCCAAACTCCTGATCAGCACACTTGATGCAGGGTGTAGTTTATCGTCATACCCAGGACTAGAAATATGAACTACCAAACAAGTTATGTATTGCAGTAATAAAATTGTAGGATAATCTAATTTTAGATGTTAATTTTAGTTAAATATAAATTAGTATAAATTAATTTCAGAAAATTATAAATTTTAGCTTCATTTTAAATATTAATTTGAGATATTTTTTAGGATATTTTATACTAATAATCAGAAAGAGAGGTTTGAAATTTCTCTGTTACAATGGGAAAATAGGTCTGAGGTAATTTAACACTCACATGACATATTAAAGGTAATTGTTGTAACCTAGAGAAGGTTACTGAATAGAATAATCAAACGAAGCTTGGTAATGAACGATAATACTTAGGACAAGAATAACACATATAAGATTCGCCAGCGGCGCGTAGAAGAATTAGTCAACTGCTAGAAGTGAGTCAAGTGAATTCCTCAATGAATCTCCAACTGCAGGATATCTACCAACCGCCCCACGTGGTCAGATGTGGCACAAGGCAGAATTTAATGTAGGGTATCGGAGCTTGTAGTCTCGGGTAAAATTTTCCCGTAGCCCCCGTATAAAATGGGTTCAGGTAGCTGTTTCCCGACAGCTCTGTTCGAGATATTAGCCTCGTCTCGGTATCCTCTCTGCCTGGAAAGTTTGACCAGGAGAGCTGTAGACGAATCTCCATTTGCAGAGCCGTATACAGTATTTACTACTGTATTTATATGAATGGTATGCTACCATAGTAATAGAAACAGGGGTAAACAATCTTTATTTAATGGGCTTGTGACTAATAGAGATGGTAAAAGGTACAAACTTACCAGGTTGAGTCCAAAGTTTTTTCGATTTTCTCTGATGATATCAGGTAATTTTTTAAGTCCATGTCAACTCATGTCAACTTGTCCAATCGTTACTGAATTTCTTTATTCTCGTACATAACATAGGAACATTCTTTATTTTTTACACTATTTATATTATTCGGACTATTGTCCTCATCTTTGTTGTCATATTTATCTCAACGTTTCACCTATCCCAGTTTATTGGGGCTGCTTCCTTGTACCCAGGGTATTTGTTAGGTTGTAGGGTACTACTTATACTGACCAATTCTTTATCTAATACTTCTGGGTCGCCACTTATGACTTTTGCTCGGTGTTGTAAGCAGCGGGCGATTCCTTTCTTTACGCTGTACGGATGGTGGGAGTTGAAATTGAGGTACTGTCCGGTGAATATCGGTTTACGGATGTCTTGATAAATATGGCGACAAAGATGAGGACAATAATCTGAATAATGTAAATAGTGTACATAATACCTCATCTCAGATGTTTATTTTACATTTTGATAATGAATCGTGAAAAATTTACGTTACCTGTGGAAGAAAGAGGCTGAGTGCAAGGCCAGTGGCAAAAAAAATTAATGATGTAGAAGGCCAACGAACTGTCGACGAATGGTTCGACATTGGTTCAGGGATTTCAAGGAAGCTGACATCAGCCTCGAAGACAAACAACGGTCCGGGAGATCTTCATTTGGGGAAGATGAGGACTTGCTTGAAATGATTGAACGACAGCGAAATAAAAAACACTTGTACAATGTCGGTAGAATTTTGGCCCTTTCCAAAGCACCATCAACTACACCACCATGAGCTCGGCCTTGTAAACAGATGCTGTCAAGATGTTCCTCATAAACTGACCAATGACCTGGCTCAACGATGTGTGAACATTTGCAGACAGTGTGATATATTAAGAAAAGTCTCGATAAAACTAAATAGTAAGACTAATATCTTTATCTTTGTTGTTGTTATCACAAAACACTTTGACCAGTGTGCTCTCTAGCCTTCTTCAAGTGTAATCTAGTATAGAAAGAAATAACACAAGGCTTCAGCAGCAGAATAGCGTCGGAGAGGAGTGTCAAGCTTCATAGCAGCAGCCTTAAGGGCAGATAGGAAAGAACAGAAAGGATAAGAAGAGTGTGGTTTTATTAAAGAAACTAGAACAAGAAATGCAATATTTATTATCAGAATGATAGAGAGAGAAATACGTGACCAAATGGAGGAACGGGGTCTGATCAAAAAGTATCGGGACTGTTGCTATAGTAACGGAGCTAAACTATGCAGAGTTTAGTCACTTGGCACTGATAGACCTTGATTGACCTGATTGACCTTGAACTCTGTTGCGCATACACACTAAGTTTATAGCTCACTTTGTTTATAGCAGTGCTTGCCGTGTCATCAAATCACAGATGTGTCTTCAGTGTCCATGGCCTGTGCAGCAATATTTGGTAAAAAAAAAAAAATTCTCCAGTTCTGACGACCACCTTATTCCCCAGATCTCATCCCTTACAACATTTTCCTCTTTTCAAAAATTAAATTTCTTTTGAAAGAAACAAGGGTATTAAATGCTGAAGTGATATATATTGTAGTTTTCTTTGCCCTGATACTTTTTGATCAGACCTCGTATACCTATGTTTTATAGACGATGCAAAGGCATTTCATACGGCACAACTGAAGATATATTTGAACTGCTAGGGAAACTTTATTTATTTGAGAAAAACATTAGAATAATCCAGAAAATATACTGAGATTAAATTGCCTGCATACGACTAGAAAATAAATTAAGAAAAAAATAGAAAGATGTATAAAAGAAGGATGTGTCTTCACACCGGATTTATTTAACTTTTACGGTGAAGTGATCCTAAGAGAACTAGGACTCCTACCAGGATTTATTATTGGCGTTTAAGCTCTACAGAAAAAAATCCTACGTTAATAAACGGAGATGTTTGTAAAACCAAGCAAAAGACTAAGAATCAAGAAAAATTCGTTAGAAACAAAGAAAAGATTGTTGAACTGTTGTGTAATATCAAGCCTCCTACATGGCAGTAAATATTGGACAATTTTTATGCAAAAAAAAAAAATGTTGTTCTGCAGAAGCATGCTGAGTATACTAAGGATGGGGATCATGTAAAAACGAGGAGGTTTTTACGGAAGATGAAAACAAAAAGGTCACAAAGAATCAGAAAGGAACTGATGAAATTTCTGGGACATATAATGAGAAAGGAAGGCTTGGAAAACTTGACCCTCACAGGGTATATCAAAGGAAAAAGGGGGAAAGTGGGAGACAGCGACTTGATGATCTTCTGTCAATAGCAGAACGTTGAATGGAAGGAATTTAGAAAAAAAAAGACAAATAGTACAAAGAAGCTATAAAGGATAGGATGTTGTGGAGAACCATGATCATCCACGTTCTAAATAGACGCGGTAGATAGAAGTCGATAAATGCTTAGTGGTGGGGGAGGGTCTGAAAATTTCACTAAAAATGTATAAATAAAAATAACTTGCTAATCATCCATCTATGGCAAACGCCCCAAAAGTTGAATGCATATATTTACCTGATCTTGTCACGGGGTTTTACTTGCGAGGCACCTAGTGAGGAACTTACTGAATAGTCTATGTAAGAAGTTTTTTTTTTGTTTTTAACTACCGGTCTGGAGCAAAAGCCTTAAAAGAAATTTTTAAAAAGTTGAATGTATAGTAAGTGCTCTGCATGTGTTCAAAGTACTATCTGCGCCGAGGTGGTGACGTATATCTACGCCGAGGTGGTGACGTATATCTGCGCCGAGGTGGTGACGTATGTCTGCGCCGAGGTGGTGACGTATCCTCACTGGGTAAACTGGGCGCGTACTCCCGACCCACCCTGTATTGTATTTCATCTTGATTTTGAAGAACATGTGTGGTATGACTGGACCGGAAGACCAACCTGTCTGTTTACAGAGTTATCACATTATTGCCACTGACTGAATGGTGTCCGGTAACCCGATGCTAACCAGCCTTGGGGTTGGTAGATGAGGGTGGGCCGGGTCAGGGAAAAAGAGAGATCGGTGGAGAGGGAAAGACAAAGAGAAAGAGAGACAGAGAGTGAGTTGTGAAAAGATAAAATCAGCTAAAATAGTGGGGAGAACATTCTGGAGTACTGAGAAGACAAACTGTCACTTGATCCGCTTTTAATATCACCAGTTATTGCTGGTATGAAAACTCGGCGAATACTACTACTACTACTACAAATAATAATGAATATCAGTGCACTGAAAAAACGTTTTTCTTGTTTGAATTTTCTAATGTAGTGTCATAATATTTACTGAACAAATAAATTCCTTGTGAGTTCCATGACGAGAAAATACCCATGAAATTTCTTCCATTGAATCGTTAGAGCTAGACAGCTTTAACAAAATATTACAATAACAATCATATATATATGAATACAGGTCATTATTTAAAGAAGTGCAAATGAAAAGATTAAAAAAATTAAAAGATTTTCCATTTCACTTAAGCGGACGTGAAATACATGAGAGTGTTATCGCTCCGTCACCTTCTTTGTTTGTTTGTTTGTTTCTTTCTTTCTTTCACTAAAACCAAACAGCGTTTCTGATGTGTCTTTTCCGTCTTTCCTCACAACTAAAACAGAATAGTTCATTTTATATGAGGTAATGGTAGGGCGTAACGTACGCGCTAATTAAGGAACGAAAAAACAAAAAAAAAACATAATTGGATACTACTACCACTACTACTACTACTACTACTACTACTACTACTACTACTAATAATAATAATAATATTAATGATAAAAGCAAAAAACAGTCGGCTCCGAATCTCGCGGTTCAATTCGCCTTTCGTCACCCAACCACACGAATCTTTTGTCTTAATGGCCCCGGTCATTAAAACGTCGTAGGGATGAGTTGACGAAAGGCAAATTGAAACACGAAACAGTGGTCTTATGACACGCCGCCAAAGACCAAGCTCTGTAGACTAATTCTCTCTGGAAGAACATGTACCACCAAGTGAATTTGGACAAGTGCTGGCTTTGTGATATGGAGAAGGTAACTGTCACCTTTAGCGCGTTTCTGAAATAGGTGCTCAGAAAACTGCCATTATAAAGTGGTCTGTCATCTGCATTGACGTATATTTAGGAAGTACGGAATTACAGTCGACGAGAAACAGTCCCGTCATAAACTAGAGAAACTGGACTGAAAACGACCTAGTGAAGATCTTGTGGATTTCAACAGAATGCATCCTTTAGGGCGCCAAATCAGACATCACCGTATATTGGTGGGGGAGAGAAAAATAAATAAAAAGAAATAAATAGTGAATAAAATTTCAGAGTTTGGGCGCAGACGTTAGGATCACAAAGCTGAAGCAGACTTTAGAAGGAACCAGAAATCCAATCCTACACAGGAAACACGTGATTAAGCCTCTACGTCTATTGAAAAGACCAGGGAGGTGAGTGAACTAAGTCTAAAAACTACAACAATGGGATTGGAAGCCTACCTCAGAAAAACCAATCACCCTCTCCTACAAATAGTAAAACAACAAATTCACTCCAAATTCACAAAGTAGCTGCACTCTTCAAGAAACAGCTTAATATACTTGAAATCCTATCAACAAAAAACGAAGCGAATACCATCTACACTAAACGGGTAAAACAGAAAGCAAAACACGTTAGCCAAATGAAATTCCAATGAAACTGCGAGGACAAGGCGTTGCATAGCAAATAGCTAAAAAGAACAAAGGAAGCAGAAATGGATTAACAGAAAACACATCAGTGACTGAGGAGCAGCATGTTGAAAGCTGAGATAAAAGACCTAATTATTGCAGGTCTGGACCAAAGCCTTGCAACCAGTTCCTACCACTGCAGCATGGGCTACCAGGAATCCCTTCAATGGGTATATCGAAACCAATTCCAATCAATCCGAGTGCTCCAACTACAACTGGAATTACCGATTTTTTAAATTTCAACTTCAAGATGCTTGTAATTTGGTCGTTTGTTGAAGGTCTTCAAAGATACACTACAATCTGCAGGGACTGCCATGTCAATAAGAAAGGACATTCTGTTCTTCTCGCCTTTGATCGCGATGTCTGGGTAATTAGCTTTGATTGTTCTTTCTGTGTGTATAGGTTATTATTATTATTATTATTGTTTTTGAAAGTTATGTTTCCTGCTTCGCATCTTGTAGAGCCGGGTCCAAACTGTGGTTTAACAATCCGTCCTTGCATGGAATATTGCTGTCATATATGGTCTGGTGCTCTCGCTGTACGTTTGTAGGTCTTCGACAAGACCCAGAGACGAATATGCAATGTGATAAGTCCTGATCTGGCATCTAGTCTACAATCGCTATCCCACACACGTTCCGTGGCTTCCCTCTGTTTCTTCTACAAATATTTTCACGGCAACTGTTCCGACGAGCTACTTTCGCTAGTTCCCGGACTGCATAAATTTAAGCGAGTTACCAGGCTGGCATCTCGGTCCCACCCTTTCACTGTCAAAACGGTTAAATGTAACCGTCTCTTCTACTCAGACAGCTTCTTCTCTTGCACTTCCCGTCTGTGGAACTCTCTTCCCCTTACTTGCTTCCTTGAGGACTATAATCATCAAATATTCAAGTGTAATGTCAATCGACATCTAACACCCTGAGCTTGTTCCCCCGTCCTTCTCCGCATCCTTTCCTCAAACACGCCTCTTTACTCTTGTTCTCAACCCCCTATAACCCCTTGCGTGCTAGTCGCACTCCCGCCTTGCTTGGGGTGAATTGCTTAAAACAATCTATATATTTTAAATTAATAATATTTGAATTTTAAAGACATTAAGTTCTTATACCATTCAAATGTGACCAATGGGTTATCGTTATTTGTTATTATCATTGCAATTGCCGTTGTCATCATTGCTATTATTGTATTATTTTTCTGCATATTATGTAATTGGTATTTACTGCTATAGTTGCATTGTTATTGTTACTGTTTAAATTTTTTTACTTAAATCGTTTTTTATCTGTTTCTCATAAAGGCGCCTTTGTTTGAATTACAAAAGCGCCTCCTAGTGGCAGCCATTGAAGCAAAATGCTGAACGTTACAAGACAGATACTGCTGATAGAAGGAAGAAATGAAGCAGAATGCAATAATAATAATAATAATAATAATAATAATACTTAAAGTAATAGTTTTGGTTCAGTTTCATTTTTATTTTACGGCATATCAACCTGAATGGGTTATTTGCTGCCGACAAAATTTTTATTGCTGATAATATGTTTTTCTTCAAAAATCTATTTCTGGGAATATTTTTCGTTGAAGAAATCTATAGCTGGTAATATTTTTTTTCAAAGAACGTATAACTGTTTGTATTACTGGTATTTTTGTTAAAAAAGTATTGCTGATAATTTTTCCTTAAAAAATGATTGCTGGTAATAGTTTTTTTATTACAAAGTATTTCTGATATTAAAGCCTATTTTTACACAAGTTTGGGTGTTAACTATTTGCCCATAGCTAGGACCCTAACAGGTGCTACCACCCCGGGTCAGGGTCGACCTGTGAACACCAACAATTAAGAGGTGATTCCACGCTCCTCAAAACCTCCTGATCAGAGGCCTTGGTGTTGGACATAGTTTAACGTCTTACCCATCGCTAACGGAGCAATTAGAAAAATAATGAAAGAAATGGAAAGACCGATGAATCTGAGAAACATTAATCATCATACATATGCAGCCTCAGCAACGATCACTGAATCAATAGGTGAATTAGTAAAAACACAACTTAAACGAAAAAAAATGCCAGTCTGGAAAGAAAAAAATATAAACTGAAATATATAAACTACTAGGAGAATTGTCATTTCTAAGTGAAGTAGACAAGGGCTGCCAAATGAAAGAAAGAAAAAGGAGACAGCTGAAACGAAACCTTGACAACTGAAACAAGACTGACGTACTAAAAGTTAAAGAGAAGCTAAAACAAATTCAAGCGAAGGGACAGAGAATCAGGCGTTATGAAAAAAAGAAGCAAATTCTTCTGGTAAAACAAGATCTTCAAAAAATAAAATAGAGATAAATGATCCGTCTAATATTCAAGATGTCGCGCAGTTCGGGTGTAAGATGTGGGAAAACTGCAAAATGCACAATGAATGAGCTACATGGATCTAACAACAACAGGAACAATACACATATATAGAGTGCCATTATGGACGTATATCAATATTACTGGAACAACCGCTGCCACCTGCAAAACTAAAAACTGCAAAGCACCAGGAGTAGGCCAAATAGCCAACTTTTGGATAAAAATCCTCTCTTGCACCCACCAAGACGGGAATACAATGATATAATTATAAAGCCCCTAAAATACTCTAAATGTCTTACGTGGGGAGTAACATATCTACTCCCCAAAACAGAAGAGACGCAGGACCCGAAGAACTATAGGCCCATCACCTGCCTACTAACAATGTACAAGATCCTCACGTGTGTCATAACCGAGAAGACATACAACTTCCCTGAGGAAAACAATTTACTCTCAGCAAAATAGAAAGGATGTAAAAGAGGAAGTTAGGGTTGTAAGGACCAACTAATTATCAATAAAACAATATTGGAAGAGGTGAAAACAAAGAAAAGAAGCTTATCGACAGCATGGATCGACTACAGAAAAGGATTCGGCAGTCTTCCACGCTCATGGGTAAAGAAGAGCTTAAAGATATACAGAGTATACTTCCCAATAGTCAAGTTCATTACGGAAAGCATGAAAAACTGGAAGACTACACTAAACCTAAACCATACAAACAAATCATTAACATTGATACCAATCAACATCAAAAGTAGGATCGTCCAATTAGATTCATTATCACCACTACTTTTCTGCCTTACATTAAGGCACTCAGCTGCCTACTGAACAACAGTAGCTACAGATACAAGTCACAGAATGGCAAACTGAATCATGTATTCTATACTGATAATTTTAAAACGTTTGCTAAGAAGACATTAGTATGGAGTTCGAAATCGACAAATGTGCCAAAGCCACCTTCAAAGGCGGTAAACTAACGAAAATACATGTTTAGACCTTGATATCATACTTATTATAAAACCCAGGTTGTGTGTGTGTGTGTGCGTGTGTGTCTGTTCGTTTATATATGGGGTAGGATTTCCTACATTTTTCAACCGATTTCAACAAAACTTCACTTTTTTTTGGCAGGTAGTGTTTCATATTGTCTTGCACACTTTTTTCTTTATTTTTACATTCAGAATGTTTTAAAAATTCCATTTACAAGACAATTGTTTATAAAAAAATTCTATTCAATCGGTAGACTCATAACGATTGAAAACGATGCTTTTGTTTAAGTTTGGGTTTGACCAATTCGTAAAAAAACAAAACAAAACAAAACAAAAAAACAAAAAAAAAAAAAAAAAAACTAATTAAGATATGCGTGTCCGTCAACCTTAAACAATAATCTTTATTATAGTCTTTATGATGGTCGATACTTGATCTATCTCTTACTGTTACATCCCCGGGCAACGTCGGGCTCTACTGCTAGTCAACAATAAGATTAAGAAAATAGACCAAGATGGTACATACAAATACTTAGGAATTAATGGAGGAGGTGGAATATAACATTCAATTATAAAGAAAAAGAGCCGAAAAGAACATTATTGGAGAGTGCGTTTGATACTAGAAAGCGAACTTAATGTGGCCAATAAAATGAAGACTATTAACACCATAACTATACCCCTTAGTAACATACAGCTTCACCATTATTAAATGGAATCGAATGACATTAAAACATTGGACGTTAAGACCATAAATATGTTTACCTAAATGAGGATGCAACACCCGAAATCAGCTGTTAATAGGATCTATGTACCAAGAACTTTAGGAGTTCGTTGTGTAATGCAACTTGAATTAATTCTAGAAACTACAACAATCGGATTGAATGCATACGTCAGAAAAACCATTGACCCTCTCCTACAAATACTAAAACACCAAATCCACTCAATCAACAAAGAATCTTCCTCTTTCAAGAAATAGCATAATATATCTGAAATGCTACCAACAAAAAACAAAGCGAATACCATCGATGCCAAACGAGTAAATCAGGAAATAAAACTATTTGGCCAAATGAAATTACAACAAAACTGAGAGGACAATGTGTTGCATGGCAAATACATAAAAAGAATGAAAGAAGCAGATGTGAACCAATCGGTGAGAGAGAAGAGACATACAAATACTTAGGAATTAATGGAGGAGGCGGAATGCAACATTCAATTATAAAGAAAAACATCCTAAAATAGGAGAGTGCGTTTGATACTAGAAAGCGAAATTAATGGGGGCCAATAAAATGAAGGCTATTAATACCTTAGATATACTCGTAGTAACATACAGCTTCAACATTATTAAATGGAAGTTGAATGACATTAAAAGATTGGACATCAAGAGCAGAAAAATACTTGCCAAAATGAAGATGCACCACCCGAAATCACATATTGATAGGCTCTACGTAACAAGAGCTTTAGGAGGCCGAGTTCTAATCCAACTTAAACTGACACATGTAAATCCCTGTTCAGAACCTTCCCGATATTATACTCTTCAGTTATTCCCACTCATGAGATGCACAGTGTGTCAGTGGCCCTAGGGGGATATGCTCAACTGTTTAAAGTTAAGTAGCAGACAAGCAAATCAGTAACACTTGACGGGATATTTACTGTTATTTTTTTTTTTTTTATAGTAAGGTTCACCCTTTACAAGGCGAGCGGGAGGAGGGCACACAGGGTAGACGGTTACATTAGGAGACCATTGGTGTGTATATGAGTGGATGATAACGGTTAACCCTAGCCTTGAGCAGGTTAAGATTGTAGTAAACGGGGGTACATCCTATAGGGAGTCGATTCCACAGGGCAATGGTTCACTGGAAGGAGCTGTTTGAGTGGATCTCCATCTTACCGATGGAATACGTAAGGGATGTGGGTGGCATAGCGGGTCCCAGCCGTGAAGGTTAGACTTTGCGGGACTAGGGAATGTAGTTCGTCCGAGCACTTTCCTAATTCAACAAGACAATAGAACTTACAACCATATGACGTTGAAACACCAATTCCTGCACGATTACCGAAGGTAAGCAACGTCGAGCCTGATCTATACTTAGATGGGTGACTGCTTGGGAATACCAGGCGTTGTGAGTTTGGATATGTAGGTGATGCAATGTGTTTACGGCCACATGACGTTGAAACACCAGTTCCCGCACGATCACTGAAGTTAAGCAACGTCGAACCTGGTCAGTACCTAGAGGGATGAACCAGATTCTGTAAGCTTGGATATGCAGATGGTGTAATGGGCTTACAGCCACATCACATTGAGACACTAGTTCTCGTAATATCACCAAAGTTAAGCAACGTTAGTACTGGTATCTAGATGGATAACCGCTTTTGAATGTCAGGTGTTGTATGCATGGATGTATGGGTGGTGTAAGGAATAATGGCGCCGGTTTCAATTCCAGTCGGATTTGGTATATTCTCTTACGTGCAAATACTATTGCGAAAGGTATATCCCCACTTCTCTTCTCATCTATGGGTTAATTAGTAAAAATTGTATCATTGTTATCACAATAAAATTTTTTCAATCTATAAATATTCCGGGTTTTAAATAACCTGCAAAGGGTTGATAAGCCGTAAAAAATGAATGAATTAATTAATCAGTTCTTTGTTTACGATTCTGTAGAGCCTGTTCATGAAGTTCGAAAAGGGATGCTTCTCACTGAGACATATATGCTTCACTCTTGTGAACCATCGATCTGAGAAAGCGATTTTACATTAGATATTATTTTTGACTGAATTTAGCACTATGCATGGTTTCCGAATCAGATTCCTGGTCTGACGAGGCTATTTAAGAACATGGTTGGAGTTTTTAGGTTACTTTTTTGCATTTGTAGTAACTTTCGGTGTTGGACAAAACCACCTCTAACGTAGCATATTCTATATTCAGTGACGTCATCTCGCATATTACCAGAAACTATAGAACGTTTACCATATTATATTTAAGAACATTTTCTACCTTCTATCAACGTTATAGTTATTTTATCAGTTTTAAAAATTCTCTCTCAATATGATGATCCCTGCTCTGTTGGAAATGTGACTTTCACATCTTAACAAAAATTGTTTTTTATGACTAGATCTCTAATACTAGATCTGTATAAATCTCAAATTTCCATTAATTATTACTTCTCTCTCAGATAACTTATAGTTGGTTTGTACATATGCTATAGATCTGCATAGAGTCCGCCCAGTCATTTGCATATTTCCCAGAGGATCACCTTTCCTACCCATTCATATATACTTTGAGTCTCCTCTAAGTTGACCTGCTCTATTTTAATTATTTATTTTTACTATTGTTCACTCGATAAAAGATCCAAGACCTAGCACCAAAATACAGTTATTTCTCCTGGGCTTATATTTAGGTTTTGGAAGTTTTGTTTCGTTTACGATTATTGTTTTCTCGGTTGAATTCAAGAAGAAGAGGAAAAAAAAACAAGTATTTTGTATTTGCTATCGACGAGAAAGTAGAAAATTGCACAACAAAGCGCCGCTTTTTAGAATATCGCCTCCATGGGCGCTGAAAAGTTAGCGCATTTCCGTTACGCAAGTAGCAACCCATGACTCTTTTTTCGGCATCATCAAGCATTTTTGTTTGTTTTTCGATTATGGTTTTCTCGGCTGAATCCAGGAAGTAGAGTAAAAACAAGCATTTTGCATTTGCCATCAACAAGAAAGTAGAAAACTGCAGAGCAAAACGCTACTTTCTAAAATGGCACCCCCATGCGAGCAAATGGTAGCCCATTTCCGTCACGCAAGCCGTAGCCCATGTCTCTTTTTTCAACTTTACCAATCCTTTTTAACAGGCAGTTATTAACGAGCAGTCCTCTGAGGCCCTGGCAATCATTACAGGGGTCACTTCTCGGATCAACCCTCTTTCTGATTTACATAAATGATCTGCCTAAGAATATACTGAGATCATTTGTTAACATCTATGCCGATGATACGACGATATACGTGTGAACCTCAAAAACTCTTGACGTTCAGAGTTTGGCAGCTGATCACCTCTTTTGATCAAACACTAACTTCACAAGGGGGAAAAATCTAGCTGGTTACATTCAATGCATCGGAAACCAAACTAGTTCCATTCCATCACCACAGATCAGACCCCGAATTACCGCCAGTCACGATGAACGAATGTCCCGACGAGGAGGCACCAGGCTTTGAGATAATATTGGGCCTGAAACACACACTCGACGTCAAGTGGAACACTTATGTACGATCCATCGCTAAAGACGCAGGTAAAATTACCGGCTCCCTGTACTGCCCCAGTAAGTACCTGGCTCGTCATGCAATCCTCCACCTTTATAAGTACCAAATGAGGCCGAAAATGGAGCGCTGTTACCACCTAGAAAAAAAGAGAGACAATTTTTTTAAATATTGTCTTAGGGGTTCACTTACTCATTTTAGTTTTTATTTATAATTAATATTTTTATTCCAGTTTGATAAAAATCATTGAAAGTGGTTGTAATTCATTTAAGAAAGGTTCTTCTTAATGAATATTTAGTTTAAGATTTATTGATCATCTAGAAAAAAAGAGAGACAATTTTTTTAAATATTATCTTAAAGGTTCACTTACTTTTGCACAGCATTGTAGATATCAATACAGTCGCCCCCCCCCCCAAGGGTCACTTCTCGGACCAACCCTCTTCTTGATTTGCATAAATCATCCACTTAAGATCATTTATAAACGTATATATCGATGATACGTCGATATACGGGCGAACCTCCAAATGTCTTGACGATAAGAGATTGGCAGCTGACCTCTCTTCCAATCGAACACTAACTTCCGAGTGGGGAAAAAATTGGATGGTTACATTTAATGCATCGAAAATCAGACTAGTTGCCAACCGGACACCAAATTACTGTCAGTTACGATAAACGGATGTCCCCCCAGGAGATACCGTGCCTTGAAAGACGATTGGGCCTCAAACTCACACTCGACCTCAAGTGAAACTCGTACATACGATACGTTGCTAAGGATGCAGGTAAAAGGATTGGCTCCCTGTATCGCTCTAGTAAGAACCTGACCTCTTATGCTGACCTCTGACATTCAAACAGAAAATGGAGTACTGTTGCCATATTTCCTGTCTTGATAGAGTTCAAAAAGCGTCTCTGAGTCCTTGTAGACGACGAATTATTTCCACCCTGCAGCACCCCTCCTCACAGGTGGTGGGTGGCGAGGCTCTCACTGTGCTATCGCGACTTCCATGGAAAGTGCTCGGATAAACTACATTTCTTGTTTCCGTCAGATCTAACCTTCACAGGTAGGACCCGAATTAAGACTTACATTGTAGCAAACCATCCCCACCCCCGTATTCCGATGGTGAGAAGTAAATTCCAAACGAACATTTTCCCGCTCTGTGGAACAGACTCCAAAGAGGATGCATCAACGATCACTCTAATCTTAAGCTGTTCAAGTCCAGAGTTAACCGTTATCTTCCTCTCCTATCCATATAAACTACCCTTTAATGTTACCCTTTACCTCGACTGGCCACAGGGCCTTGTAGAGGCTGAATCTTACTTTAAAAAAAAAAAGTTAAAAAAATGTCTCGGCATGATAAGTTATGTGAAGGCCTATGTTTCTGGTGATTCGATCCAGCATTGAACTCACTGTGTCATGACACTGTCTGCATCATATACGCAGGTGTCCGACTAAACAGGTGAACAGAGACTTATTATTGCCCCCATAGAAGAAAAAACCTCCGGCAAAGATAATAATAATAATAATAATAATAACCAATAAATATTTTATATCATTTGGGTTTGTCAACTTAGGAGCCACATGACAATATGGTGTCTATCTCTTACGATCTTTATGGCAGCCCACAGTGCCTTGTTTCTGAAGCCTACATCGATCAAATATCGAAAAGCGAGACTTGAACCTTCATAGAAACTATTGTAGGCCATATTCAAATACGTAATAATGTCATTTTAGATGTCAACAACGAGAAATAAAACATGTTACGTGTCATTTAAGCGAGAGTGAAGCTAACGTTACCTCCTACACAGGCGGGTCGACATTCGCTACACACTGTAATTACGTTCGTATACCAAGTTGATGAAGAAAATAGTGGCTCACTCTTGCAAAGGACAATGAAACAACGACAACTTAGAACAAATGATAAATGCGGAGTGATGGTGGGGCGAAACAGGACGACCGCGCAAGATAAGATCGTCTTGGGTTAACGCTGCCAAGAGAAGCGCAAAGAATAACATGAGACGGGGTGAACCTCTGTTTTGTCGGGCCTTTAAATTGTAGATCCCTATCATCCCGATGTATCTGTTCCCCACTATTAGAACAAGATTACTTTTCCTTGCTGTTTTCACTGTTGTCATACAAGCTTCCTTTAATGGCAAGAGATTTTCTCATTTTACGAGATGGCCCACACTGACAACATTGTTTTCGTCTTCTTCTTCCTGCTCCTCCCTCAGCGTTCCTTCTTCATTCTAATATATTATTTTTTTTATTATTTTTATTATTAACTTCGTTCAACTAGCTATCAATATAGATTTCTTCTTCTCCTTTCCCCTTTCTTCTTCTTTTTCTTCTTCTTCTTTCCCATTTCTTCTTCTTCTTCTACATCTTCTTCTTTCTTCTTCTTCTTCTTTCTTATTCTTTCCCCTTTCTTCTTCTTTCCCCTTTCTTCTTCTTCCTCTTTTTCTTCCCCCTTTCTTCTTCTTTTTCTTCTTCTTTCCCCTTTCTTCTTCTTCTTCTTCTCTTACACGTAGTTTTCTATTTCCTTCCCTTTTACGTAGCTTTCTCTTTATTGCCTTCTTTTTTTACTTTTTCTTCTTCTCTTTCACGCAACTTTCTCCATATTGTTTTCTTCTTCTTCTTTTTCGTTTCTATGTAGCTTTCTCTATAAAGCAGATTTCTTCATTGTTGTTTTTTTCTTTCGCCTAACCTTCTCTATGTAGCCTTCTTCTTCATTTTCCTTTTTCTATTCCTTTTTCTTTTACATTTAGCTTTCATTATATCGTCTTCCTTCTCATCCTCTTTTACGTAGCTTTCTTTATATTACCTTCTTCTTCTTCTTCTTCTTCTTCTTTTTCACATAATTTCCTCCTTCTCCTTCTTTTTCTTCTTTTTTCCTTCTTTATTTTTCTTCTCCACTTTTACGTAACTTTTTCATATTTTCTTCTTCATTTTTTCTTCCATTTCTCTTTCACGTAATATTTTATGTATTGCCTTCTTATGCCTTCACGTAAACTTCACTATATTTCCTCTTCCGCCTCCTCCTCCTCCTTCTTCTTCTTCTTCTTCTTCTTCTTCTTCTTCTTCTCGTACCTTTCTCTATACTGTGTTTTTTCTTTCTTTTCTTTCTTTCTTTCTTTCTTTCTTTCTTTCTTTCTTTCTGTAACAAAAGAAAAAAAATACCTCGGCATGATATGTTATATGAAGGCCTAAGTTTCTGGTGATTCGGTTCAGTATTGAACCCACTGTGTCATTACACTGTGTGCATCATGCACGCAGGTGTCCGACTAAACAGGTGAACAGAGACTTATTATTGCCCCCCCCCACAATAGAAGAAAAAACCTCCGGCAACGATAATAATAATAATAATAATAACCAATGTTTCTTTCTTTCTTCGCATCGATTATTTTTAGGTGCCAGAACTATGCTAACCGGAGAACATTTGATGACGATAGGAAAGTCTCGTTCAGCCAGTATTTAGCCATGGACAATTTCGTATGATTTTTTCCATCGGCATAACAATGCAGAATGCAGGAGAACATTCATTTATGGGTTAAATTGCAGGGTAGATGAGGTATTCTAGCCTTGACCAGCCAACAGATTAGGAAAGGTTTTGTTTCTATCATACATTCATTCTTTCGGATCTGTTAAATTACTTTAAATTTTCCCCACATGTGTACAGATATTAGGACTGGCGAGTCGTATTCAAGTTCAGCGCTAATCTTTTGCGTTCACTTTCTCACAAATACTTTTTGGGAAGGTCATGAATCCACCTTGTCTCTCTCCAATTATAGGCTTAAATAGCAGACTGGATACTCTAGCCTTGGTTGGCATTCAATCGAAGAGAAGGAAAACTCGAAATTCCGGACGGTGGAGTAGACAACGGGAAACCACTACCTTATCTTTCTCGACAATGCATGACAATCCATAGATAATAATAAAAAAAGAAACTGTGGAGAGTCATGATCCAGGAATATGACATTAAAAAAGAAAAGGGTGTTGTGGAGTGTCATGATCGGCTACATCCTAAAGGGAAATAACATTAAAAACGGAAGCTATGGGACGTCATTATTGCCTACGCCCTAAAGGGATATGACGTTAAAAAAAGAAAAGGAAGCTGTGGAGAGTCATTGCCGCCTACGTCCTAAAGGGAAATGACATTAAAAAAGAAAAACATGACATTAAAAAAAAGAAACGAAAGTTGTGTAGAATAATGATAAGTTACTTCTTAAAGGGAGATAACATTAAGAATAGAAGGAAGCTGTAGAGATAAAAGCAAAGGAAGTTGTGGAGAGTCATGATCGGCTACATTCTAAAGGGACATGACATTAAAGAAAGAAAAGTTAGCGGTGGGAAGTCATGATCATCCACATCCTAAAGAGAGATTACATTTAAAAAAGAAAAGAAAGCTGTGGAGAGTCATTGCCGCCTACGTCCTAAAGACACATGACATTAAAAATAAAAGGAAGCTGTGGAGAGTCCTGATCGGCTATAACCCAGAGAAACATGACAAGAAAAATGAAACCGTGAAAAGTCAATAGATGTTATGGAAATCAAGTTCCAATTCCAGTTGGGTTCGTTATATTCAATTACGTGTAAATATCCTTGGTATAAATCTATCTTTTCCCTTCTCCCCAGCTATGGGTTAATTAGTAGAACGTTTATCAGTAAATCATTATTATCTCCAAAAATTCTTATAATCTAAAAATATTTCCTGGCTTTAAATAACCTACAAAAAGTTGATAAGCCGTAAAAAAGAACATTGTATAAAACAAAAAGAAAGGGAAGATTTGATTGATTCGTTTTAAAGCTTTTACTGATAAAAATCTTACTAATTAACCCATAATTTTTTTTTGGGGGGGGAAGAGGTGGATTCATCTAACGGGAATTGTAACTTTGCTCTCTGATTAACAAATACGAGCCTTTATCCATTACACCCACTACACATTCAAGCTTACAGCACTAAGTGGTCACTCATCTAGGTACTGACCTGGCTCGACGTTGCTTAACTCAAGTGATCGTAAGGGAAGTGGTGTTTCAACGTGATGTGACCGTAAGCCGAAAAGGAACCTATGGAGAGCCATGATCTCTCACATCCTAAACGGAAATGGTATTTTATTATTATTATTATTATCACCCACTGCAATTCATCCCGACCTCGTGAACTCGTGTTTTCCTTGTTTGGTCACCTGTTTGGATACTGCTTGTAGACGTGCATATCACAGTCTGAGAAAAACAATTCATTATTGCCTAGTATAAATCTTTCGACGTTTACTCGGTAGATGGCCTAGTGGTTAGAAAGTCAGCGTTCCGATAATGAAACACGAGTTCGAACCGCTCCAATAAAGTGACACCTTGTTAATATTGGAAAGTGCCTGAAAAATCCAGTGACAGGTTGACCCAAGCCTTATGAGTGAAGTTGGCTAGACGAAACTGAAGCACGAAGACACTATTCATCGTGACCGAGTGTTCGACCATAACGGGCCTTGTTCAGCTCATAATCACGCCAGATTATGCACTGTATCCCAGAAACTTCAAGTAAGGTTTGCCCAGTTTCGTTGGAGTATAAACCAAAAGGCTGTTGAGGAAACAGATATGTGCCTGGGCAGATAACCGCAACAGGGATTCGACTGCCTCCCCAATAGATGCGTAAACTTGGATACGAGCAGACATTGTTACTTTTATTATTATTATTAACATAGAGAATTGAAGCACATTTGGTTGATCGGGAGTTACTTCAATTTCCGGAGAGCGAAATGTGCTTGCAGATGAGCACACTCGGAAGCGAGCCATTGATTGAGTGATCCTTTTTTATGGCTTATCAACCTTTTATAGCTCATTTAAAGCCGAGCATATATTTGGGATTGGAAGAATAATACATTTTTTTTTTACGAGTGATAACAATTTAAAAAAAAATAGAATGACAATGTTTTTTCCAGATACAGGTCCTACTAATTAACCCATAGTTGGAGGGGAGACATAGTTGAGGGGAGACCTACTTGAGGTGAGACATAGTTGAGAGGAGTCATAGCTGGATGGGTTCATGCCTTTCACAAGTGAATTTTCGCGTAAATGAATGTAACGAACATCGGATCTCCGATTTCTCATTTTCAGCCGCTATCCATTGCCCCACCCGCACCATCCACTCGTAAACGAGCAACAACAACAAAAAAAACAACAACAACAACAACAATAACAACAATAATAATAATAATAATAATAATATGTTATCAGGACTACAGGATATCCAGTAAAAAAGTGGTAAATTCAGAAAGAAATTTATTTAGCAATCATGATTCATACACAAGCTGAACAATCATTGTAAATGTCCGAAATGTTTGCCTGAATCTTCAACACAAAGTTGTAAGCGTGGTAACCAGAAGGTAGTAGCTTTGTGGATAGCATCAAGAGGAATTTCATTCTAAGCTTCAGTCAAATTCCATTTAAAGCTGGTGTATTTTCTCAAAGAATAAATTTCCATTTTTTTATTGGCCACCCTGTAAACTGACAATGTCACGACGACGGTTTTGCAAGGGAGTTAGAAGTATACTCCAGATACAGTAAAATCCATTAACATTCAGATATGGGCTTTTAGAAGGGCCACTAAGATGGACCAATTAGAACTGGTGTATTGTCTCGATGAAGAAATTTGCCGCTTTTTTACTGAGCACGCTGTAGTATAGCCGTTTTAATGGAGTTGACATAGATTGAAGCACATTTGCTTCTTTGGGTGTTTCTTCAAAACTCGTAGAGTCAAATGTGATTGTCTTCAACAGAGATTAGCTTAACCACCTTGGCAGACGAGCATACTCCGAAACAAGCCACCAGCCATTTGTTAGTGACATCTTGGATACATGAATGTAAAAACGCAACGAAAGGGAAGTTGGAGCCGTCTTTCGATTCGTAGATAATTATATTGACTGTTTGTGCGCACATAAAACAGGGTATAATAATCACTTTAGCTGTATGTAGGTAGAAGATAATAGTCAAAGAACAACGATAGCCGTTCATCTCCCACCAACCTCGTATTTTTGGTTGTTAAACAGTTCAGCTTCAAATAATTAGTAATTTCTTGCCGCTTTTACATATGAAAAGCTGTTGCTTCTGCACAACTCACCAGTTGAACTGATAGATTACCTATAATTAGAGGGGGCAATTTTGATGTCACTCTAAAAAGCAACCCTATTCAGACGCAATTATGCAAAATTCAGCGTCATGTTTTATTTATGAGAAGGTCATATGACATGGCCTGAACGGACACGTGCTTTGAGCATTGCATATCTCGCTGCAACAAGTCGAGTAATTTTAATTTAAATCTTGTTGCAAGAGACAATTACAGCGCAATAATTGATAAGAAAATATTCCTTGTTAAAGAAATTAAAATTTAGTTCCCAATAAGTTTCTAAAAACGATATTTTAAGAAAGTCCACAGATGAAAAGTTGCAAATCTCTCACAATTCTATCGCTATTGATATGGCAAATGTTCAAACGCATTACATTCCTTAGACCCAACAGCTCAGACATGCACAGTTAGAATCTGCTATGCCATGCTCACGATAGCCAACCGTCCCCATTGCTTTTGCGTTACTTTGGTAAGAGACTTACAGCCATGTTATTTTGAAACACCGGTTCTCGTACGATCTCGTTAAGCAAAGTTCTGTACTTGGATGGGTGACTGCACTTTAATGACAGGTGATGAGAGCTTGAATGTGCGGGTGGTGTAATGGATAGCGGCTCGTGAGGGTGGGAACGAGTTCGAATTCGGGTTCATTACATTCGTTTACATGCAAATAACCTTGGGAAGAGTATGAATCCACCGTGCGGGTAGTGTAATGGATAACGGCTCGGAAGCAGAAATCGTGGGAGTGGGCGTTCGAATTCGGGTTCATTGCATTCACTTATTTGCAAATAACCTTGGGTAGGGTTGGAATCCATCCCTTTCTCCCTCAGCTATAGGTTGAATAGCAGGACTTGTATGG